AGGCATAAATTCATGATGTTTAAAGACCCTCTAAAGTTTTGGGAACAATGATGTACGCAGACTATTCACATTTTGTAATCTTCATCAATATTTGTCTTTAAAGTATATTTTCTCATGTAAGTAGGATCTTGATGAGTAGTTTTTGTGTATTGGAATAGAATTTAAAATTCCTAGTAAATGATTATTTGTTTTGTGGTTGTCTATCAAAATATTTGATTACATTTTCTCTCCCACCGTTGTCATTTCTCTCAGTCTATTATGACGCAAGATATGAAGAAGCATCTAGCAGACTTGGAGATGCTGGTAAAGACCATGAAGCTAGCCATGGATAGCAAGGAAGCGGAAGTAGAAGCTGCTTCTGCACAGGCAGAGGCGAAGGCTGCCAAGGAAGGGTCTAGAAACATCGACAAGATATATCTACGGAGGAGGCTACCTCAGGGACAGCTTCCCACCAAGAAACAGCTAGCCCCATGCAAAAGACAGCCTATATATCATTTAGTGGGCGCCCAGAGAAAAGCAGTGATCCCTCTGCGGAGGACTGGATTGAAGACGCACAAATGGTGATGGCCTCTATGAACTTACTGGAAGAAGAGCAAGTAGCATTTCTCCTCAAACACTTGTGTGGAAAAGCCCGGACAGAGATTCTCGGAAGAGGGGCTGACGTGAAGAAGGACCCGTCTAGAATTTTTGCTGTGCTGTGTTTGGGGACAGCAGCAACCTGCCACAGCTTCAGCAGAAGCTTTACAGCTACTGTCGGGCGGATGGTGAGGACACTGTGTCATTGTCACTTGAACTGTTGCGATTGTTCGATCCTATACAGTTGCTATCTTAGTCATTCGTACGAGTACACAAAACACCCCATCACAAAAGGAAAATCATCAACATTCTGTAACTAACATTGTCAATTTATTTACTTTATTTTATGTTTCTTTTCAAAGGGATCGCAATTCTAAGAAGCTTGGTGCCTTTTAGAGCAGCTATGGAAGGTTAGCAGAGGTGAGATCGCTAATCCCTAGTGCTGTTCCAGTCATGAGTTTGACCGCGACTTCTACACTGGCCTTGAGGAGTGAACTTATCACCAGCCTGTCACTAACATCACCAACAATCATCACAGACTCACCGGACCGGCCAAACTTTTTCTACAACCTCATACACACATCCCAGAAAGAGAACCCATAAATTTTCCACTAAAACAAAACAAGCAACAAACGCCAAGATCTATCATCTTTTGTCATTCCCACAAGGCAATGCCGTTCTCTCTACAGTTATTTACATGATGAATTTGGCAGTGAATACAAACAGTATTTTGCAATGTTTCACTCTACAACAGATGACAATATGAAAGAGTATGTCTTGAAATCATTTTCAGACCCAAATGGTCCAATTTTTGCACGATTGCATTTGGTATGGGCATTGATTGTAAGAACTCAAACCCGGGGCTTTGTTTAAAAAAACCCAATCTGTACATAACATTAGAATGCGCAGTGCACAAAATGCAGGATTAATTTTACCCAAAATAAAAACCCACATGGGAAAACAAAATTTTTCATTTGATGGTGCGGCTTTTTGGAATAGTTTACCTAATTTTTTAAGAAATGCGCCTTCAAATTCATTTACTCTTTTGTTTTGGCGTTATAATAATTTAAATCATTGAACTGGTCAATTGTGTTGTTTTTGTTTCTTTTCTTTTGTTCGAAAATGTTGTAACTGAATTAATTTTGTTTCGATTTGGATTGTTTACATGAATATGTTTGTAAATTTTTTATTTATGTTGTAGGGCCTCCACGAAAAACAGTATTTAACTAATGATGGAGCTACCCTACTAAAAAAAGACTAATAAATAAATAAAATAAATAAATAAACTTGATATCAATCTACCACTACGACCCATCAGTATTAAATTAACATTGTCCATTTATTTACTTTAAATTTATGTTTCTTTTCAAAGGGATCAAAATTCTAAGAAGCTTGGTGCCTTTTGGAGCAGCCATGGAAGGTTAGCAGAGGTGCGATCGCCCCTCCCTAGTGCTGTTCCAGTTATGAGTTTGATCGCGACTTCTACACTGGCCTTGAGGGGTGAGCTTCAATATCACCAGCCTGTCACTAACATCAGCAATAATCTTCACAGACTCACCGGACCGACCAAACATTTTTTACAACCTCATACAAACATCCCAGAAGGAGAACCCACAAATTTTCCACCGCCTTGTCTTGGAACTGAAACAAAACAAGCAACAAACACCAAGATCTATCATCTTTTGTCGCACCCACAGGCAGTGCCGTTCTCCCCGCAGTTATTTCCATGATGAATTTGGCAGTGGATCCAAACAGTATTTTGCAATGTTTCACTCTACAAGTAACAACAGATGACAATATGAAAGAATATGTCTTGAAATCATTTTCAGACCCAAATGGTCCAATTCATGTGCTGTTTTGCACGATTGCATTTGGTATGGGCATCAATTGAAAGAACTTGAGAACAATTTACCACTACGGCCCATCAGAGAATGACTATGTGCAGGAAAGTGGGGGTGGAGGACCTGGTGGTGAATCTTGAACTGCAATACTCATAGCATACCGTGGATGAACACGCCATGTGACCAGTCAGCATATGAAGTGCAGGCAGTGGTCCAGATGCGCAGTGCCACATTTCCAGGTGTTTGCATTATTTGGTCAGATATCCTACCTCGCGTAACTTATCAAGGTGTCTCAGAGGAAGAGCAACCAAAGATAAATAGGGCAAGACGGGCCGTGAACAAGCATGCAAGGTTGGGCTGGTGCAAACATAGTGGCAAAGCAATCCTACACCCATTGATACGTCATGTGAGACCAGAATTATTCCGAAGGGACAGGATCCATTTGTCACCTGCAAGATTGGAAGCGTTGCTGGACAGCATCTGCTCCGCATTGCGGGGAATATTATGTGATTGACATTGCACTGATAAGTTCTGAGAGGATAAACTCTGCGACGAACCTGGGTAGGATCATATGATTGATCACGTGATTTAAATATTTGTTCATAATAACCAAAATGGCGATTGGTAATCTTCACCGAGTCAGAGACCAGTTGGTTGATTTGATCGATGAATATGAATTTTGTCTTCTATACGACATCAATAAACCCACCAACATAGATTTTCGTTATGAAGAATTCGACCCAATAGATCTAAATTGTTTAAATGACGATGAATGTAACTCATACTTCAGATACGTACATCATGCATATAATAATGTATGAATTTACCATGTTTACATGACTGCATCTAGTGTATTGACAGCCGGCCGACTCACGTAACAACATCTGTATCGTCGTGATTGTATTTCATGATAATGGTGATTCAAATACAAAATGTTCAAGCATAGTGGAATGCATACTGTACGTTATTATACTAATCATCTAGGCTTAGCTCAGTGACACAGCAGATATCGCATCACTCACGACCTTAGACACGGATCTAGTCATCCTTCTAATTATTAATTTGTAATTATTCTGATTTATATTTACTTCACGATAATAACTTACATGAAGGTCGCTGAAGAGTGACATGATTTCGGGAGCTCCCTTTTTCGCACGCGTAGCTACTTGGCAGAAAGCAAATCATGCCGCTCAATCTTCGAAGCGGGACCTCAACTGGGACTATCATCCCCGTCAGCTCGCATCTTCCGATACTCCAACCAACCCCGCCCCTTCAGCCTTTGAAGTATTTGTTCGGAAAAGAATTTCTGACATTCGTTCAATGCTTTCTAATTTTGAGGAAGCTCTAGCCTACCAAGATGCTTGTACTACAGAGTTAGAGAAGAAGATTACCCCACTTGAGAAGAAGGTGAATGACTTAGAAGCCCGCATTTTGACCCATGAATCCCGTCTGCAGATGGCAGAGCTAGCTGAAAATAAACTGGAATGTTTTTCTCGGAGAAACAACTTCAGAATTGTCATCTTTTGGCAAAAATGCTGTCTTTTCAAGACAAGAGATATGTCGTTTCCCAGCAGAGAAAAAAGCTAGAAAAGGAGAAAATATACGTCTATACGATTCGACCAAGAAAGATAGAGAAGAGAAGAAAAAATGGCTGAAGGAAGTCAATGCTGCGTTTCTTTCTTGATCGAGTTATCATTTCTCTGCCGGAAAAACCACCAACTTCCCCACTCCCAGAAACTCCGTCCCTGGCCGATGACACCCAAACACCACCAACTTCCCCTCGCCCAGGAACCCCATCCACGGCTGATGACACCTAACCACCACCAGCTTCCCCTCTCCAAGAAACCCCGTTCCCGGCTAAAGACACCCAAACACCACCATTTTCCCCTCTCCCAGAAATCCCACCCCATCAGCATGATGACGACGGAATAAGCGTATATGCGAACTGTCGACGCGTGGTATGAATATACTAATGACACTGGAACCCAAACATCAGACCCCGAGGACCACATCGCCAAATTAATGGACAGATGCCATATTTCTATCAAACAAAACCCGGACTCAACACGCACCGAGGCCTGCAGCGAGACTCAGAGCTATTTTCACACGTTAAAAAGTAGAGAAAGTGTTGCCCGGGTCTTCGAGACTCTTCACCTTCCCGGAGGAGGGTTTGATACGAGATTCGAGTATCAACTTCCTAATCTTTTTCTATCTCTATCCCTATTTCTTCTAAATGACAACTTTGTAACGCCACTGATAAGTATATATATATATATATATATATATATGATTATTATGTGTATATAAGTCAATTGAGCATTACTTTGATAAAGACTTCATGGGGAGGCCAAATTACACAGTTAATAAGATAATCTTTTTGAGGTAAATTTCAACCGAAGAATATATACGTCAAATTTTGGCAGGACAAGAGATGTTATTTGAGTAAATGAATATTCGATTAATAGATTTTTTTTGGAGACATGTATATGCGTTAAGGTGATTGATTGATGTTGTTGGTGATGATAGGACGTTCCTATCGGGTGATGGATTAAGTGTTCCAAAGAATGGAAATCAAAAAACAAGTAACAGAACTATTAGACAAAGGACTAATAGAACCTACAGATAGTCCCTGGGCCTCTAACATAGTACTCGTTAGAAAGAAGGATGGTACAATATTTATTCATGTGTGTTGAACAACGGGCATGCTTCTATTTTTTCCAATCATATGTGGTGTTAGACAAGGCTGCCCATTTAGCCCCCTTCTGTATACAATTTGTAAAGAAATAATGAGTATATGGATAAAGAGAAATAATGATGTTAAAGGCACCAGAGTGAACAGTACAGAAATTAAGCTTAAGTCATATGCTGATGACACCAAGTCATGTAATGTCAGAAAGGAGGAGGCACCCTACTAGCTCTTCCTAAAGAAAGTGAGGCTGCATGGCCAGGCTTACAACAAGGGATGGTATCCTAATTTTATCAAAAGCAGAAGTTGCTCTAAACACCTGCAAGATGGTTAATTCATTGCTCGATGCAGCATTCATTAAAGAAGAGTTACAAAGTCATTCATTGCTCGGAAAGTCATGTAATGAGAGAAAGGAGGAGGCAACACAACTAGCTCTTCCTCAAGAAAAAACTCATGCAATTAGAGACTTTGTATGCAAGACCTTTAGTGGATACAGAGCCATCGATTTCAACAGACATGTGAGGGAGAGGCTGTCACACATCCAGAGAAATAAAGTAGAAAAGTAAACTGTGCTAATAGTTTTTGTTTTTACTAGTGTGTTTCCCAGATTGTGGTTCATGTATATTATCGTGCTTCATCTGTGAGGCTTCATAGCCAGGCTTACACAAGGGATGGTATCTTAATTTTATAAAAAGCGGAAGTTGCTCTTCTTCCAACTGCAGCATTCACTAAAGAGGAGTTACAAAGTTATTCATTGCTCCAAAACTACAGTAGTATGAAGTTGGAACGCCTTGCGCTCTATTGGGCAATTACCGAGAAATTCCGGGCAAACTACTTGGGGCAGAGTTTGTTGTATTTACAGACAACAATCATCTGAGCTACTTACAGACGACGGCTAAGCTGGGAGCAACAGAGATGAGGTGGCAGGCGGACCTTGCTCAATTCAATTTCGAGATTAAGCTCAGATCTGGTAGGCTGAATGTGAACGCAGACGCCTTGAGCAGAAAAATAGACCATGGGATTGAACAACAGAGACTCAAAGAAGTTAGACTCAGAGACTCAAAGAGTTAGTCTTCAAAGCCATCCTTCGTCTTTGTCTACACCAGTGCCATTAGCACTTGCAGTGAGAGTAGAAGAAGTCATGGAGATAACAGATACAGACATGCCAGCAAGGAAGGAACAGCTTTGTCTACCCTTCCGACCCTGCCCAGAGAGAACTGGCAGCTCTGCAAATGAATGACCCAGTCATTGGAAAACTGCTACTCTACAAGGAGAAGGAAAGTGCCCCGACTCCGAGGCAGATGGCTAATGAAGACAAGCCAGTTCGGAAACTGTTGCGACAGTGGGAACGTCTCCTTCTCGTAGATGGTATTCTACTCCGCAGAGTTACGCTGAAGGGGCAACCAAGCAAGCAACTTCTGGTACCAGGAGCCTTGAAGAACAGGCTCTTAAGTGCACTCCATGACGAGGTTGGCCACCAAGCTTCAGAAAAGACTACTAGATAAACAGTCCAACGCTTCTACTGACCAGGATTGGAAGCAGAGATCCGCACCCACTGCAAAAGCTGCCAGCGATGCATACTTTCCAAAGCAGGGAGGAAATTGCATCTGAAAATGGGTTCACCGATTGCAAGAGAGCCCCTGGAGGTACTTGCGATAGACTTTACAGTGTTAGAGCCCAGCTCTAACAGGGTGGAGAATGTCCTCGTACTGACAGAGGTCTTCACGAAATACACTCAAGCTATACCTACCAGAGACCAGCGGGCAACTACGGTCGCAAAGGTACTCGTCAAAAACTGGTTTGTAACATTTGGCATGCCTAAGTGGCTGCACAGGTTTGAACTTTAAGAGCAGTCTGGTAAAAGAGCTTTGCCGAGTGTATGGAGTACAGAAGACGAGGACAACTCCCTACCATCCGGAGGGCAATGCACAGTGTGAACGGTTCAATCATACGATGCATGACCGACTGCGTACTCTTCCGCCGGAGAAGAAGAGAAGATGGCCTGAATATTTCCCTGAGTTGGTATACGGCTATACGCCTACAACTGTACACCACATTCGTCAACAGGTTATTCTCCATATTATCTCTTCTTGTTAATTCATTGCTTGATGCAGCATTCACCAAAGAAGAGTTATGAAGAAAGGAGGAGGCAACACAACCAGCTCTTCCTCAAGAAAAATTCATGTGATTAGAGACTTTGTATTGAAGACCTTTAGTGGATACCGAGCCATCGTTTGCAACAGACATGGGAGAGAGAGGCTGTGAAACATCTAGAGAAATAAAGAAGGAAAGTAATCTGTGCAGTAATAGTTTTTGTTTTTACCTTTTGGTGTTGGAATAAAAAGTGAACTACATGCAACAATCCGTGTTGAGCAATATTTTCCTGCATCACATGAAGAAAAAAAAACCTAGGAAGTGAAATCTCAAATTTGATACCCTTTAGACTGTGTAGATTAAAAATGTTAACATAGACATGAAGTAGAGAGGCCCTAGCAGATGTCCACTTTTGGAAATACTAGGTTCCTCCCCGGATGTTCCAATACTCAGATATTGGTACCTTGTTCGTTTGATCAAAGTGCAATGGGATGCCGGGCTTTATGTCTAATATGCTTCACTTTTTTTATCTTATAACACAAACGGCAAGTGAAAACGTGTAGGACCTTTGATGTATGCACATATTTACCATTCGTTAACACGTTTTTAAAAAAAATGGTGCAGTTGACTTCGGCAGATGTGAACAGACCTTTAGTTGTTACCAGGGAGTGACAAGAATTTCAAAGGAAAACATGAAAACTGTGGTGGCAATTGTTAGCATACATGTATCTCGCTAAAAAGGAGAGAAGAATCCCTCAATCGGAAGAGTGCTCAATTCTGAGTTTGCCTAAAATTTTAGTTGATTACCCCTGTTTTTGCTTCTGAATAGCCTAAGGCAACCACACATCTTACCATTTGACCATGATTGGATTTTGCTAGAAATTAAAATTGGATCAGTTATATGACTCCTCTTGCACTTTTTCTCCTGATTGAGGTGTCTATTTCAGATAAAAGACAAGACCTGTTACAATAATTTTGATATCACACCACGATTCACAAGAACTGACCATTGACTTGTAGAAGGTGATTTGGCTTTTCCCGGACTGCAAAGCTTATAATGCAATGCCATTTCAATTGAATAGACATATGAATATCATTTATATTCATATGATTATTCAGGACCTCAATCCTTTACAATTTACATGGGATTTTTGAGAGAAAAAAAACCATATTCTTCTAACATTTCTTTTAAAATCAAGACATAATCAGGTCTTGGGATGCGAGATGGCATCAACGGTATTCCTCTTTAACAAAAGGAACTCCATTTAACTACATACATTCAGCTTCTGATGCATGCAAAGGTCACTTTGATATTGATGTATACCCAGCAATAGTTAAACAAGAAGAGAATAACCAATATTCTGTTGATATCACGTCTTCTGATCGAAAGTCCAATCCTCTTTATGTAGTGCTTTTGCTTGATCGTCAACCTCTGATGTGGTTTCTATGGGTTTCACGGTGAAGTCTTCATTTTCGCCAGCTGTCAGGACCTCAAAACCTGACTTCGTTATCAGGATTGTGTGCTCAAACTGGGCTGATCTAGAATTGACAATGACAAAGAGGATAAAGTATTGAAGTGACTCGGTTGAAGGTTGATGAAAAAACTGTGTAATTTTTCTATGGAATGTTACTTATTATATTCCTTCTACTGTACTAACCCTCTGACATGCAAAAAATCCTGAAAAAATTCTCAAACCACAAAGATATTTATGGTTTTCTTTGAAGGCGTCACTGTGTGACACCCTCTAACAGTAAATTCTCCCAACCATTTTTGAACTTTCCCAACTGTTTTTCCATGAAAATAAGACATAAGACGGGCATTTAAAAATTTGTCAACACTTAAATGTCTGGAATGGTATATAGAGCCAATTCATTGCTTTGTGATGATTTACATTCACCTAAAATGTAATCAAATTGTAATGATATAGTTGGGAGAATTAAGGATTCGATCAGATAAGTTTATCCCAAATGTTAACATTAATAATGGTCTGTTTTCACTCAAACTGTCAGATTATCTTTAAATGTACATCTAGCATCAAAGTCACAACCTTAGCACCATTTTCTGAACAATGTTACCAAGTCCCTGTAAGACATTAGGATGAATGAAACAAAAAAAATCTCAATAACACCTAGGCTACTGAGACAAGTTCTAAATATATCAATTCCCCAAAAGGCAGTAGCATTTACCTGATATCAATTTTTTTTTTTTTTTTTTTTTTTGGGGGGGGGGGGGTTGGGTTTAAAATGGCAGATGATGCACTACTCTAAAATTGCTGACCAAAAATAATATTTGTCATAGACTACTGCATATATGTTTTCTAATAGGTTCATATAAAATTACTTTGTCTATCTTATTTAAGTAGGTCTATTCATGATGAAACCTTACAAAAAGAAGGCAAATACCAGTATATGATATCATGAGTCTTTTTATTCATTTGTAAAGCTTATTTCACTTCAAATATGTAGCTTTTCAATGTTAAATACAACCACGCATAAGTAAAGACGTTCTAGCACATCTGTTCGTTGAAAGACATTGTGATAATGGTTTAAATACCTTGTATGATTTTGAGCATACACAGTCCAATCATCATCTCCTGTTACCATCCTGTCCACACTCTCTAAGATCACAGGTTCTATTGTGAATGTCAAACCAGCCATCATGCTCTCTGGATAAAAGTTTGCTGAAGGACAAACAACATTGAAAATTTGACAAATTGAAAAGCATGGATACCATTATATTGACCTTTGACCTTAAAATTCAGGATCTTATCTAGAATACTCTGTTGTATTCTATTGTGGTGAAAGTGGGGGTAATTTTCATTCAAAAATCTAAACTAGTACAAATCATTGGTTAATTACACCAGTGACATACCAACCTTTGACAAACATCTTTATAAAGAATGCAAAAACAAAATTAAAACACCAGAGACAGAGGCTGAATTGGAGAGATAGCATTATGACAGCTAATAGGCATGCAAGCAGAAGAGACAAGAAAGAGAAAGAAAGAAACGGAGTAGAAAAAGATGATACAACCTCTGTAATTTGTTAATTTGCGCTTTTGCAATTCATACACCTAGTATTAAAGTTTATCCCCCCCCCCCCCCCCTCTCCATGACAGCAAGTGATCCCTTAATGAATGGATTAACATTATGGTCAAAGGGTGACAGCCATATAAATATCATAATTTTGAATTAAATTTACATTCTCATCAAGTATGCTTCATAGATAACTGATATTTGTTTCATTTCAACACACCAATATTCTTTACATTGAATATCTGGATAACTTCTACATGTTCCTGCAAAACAACAAATCAGGAAATGCTAGATAATGCCATAACAGCATGTAAAAGATAATCAAATAAATATACTTTTGTGAGATCTTTGTGAGCTATGCCATCTTTCCTAGCATTATATGTACTGGGAATTCCTTTTCTGAGTAAGAAATACTTACCATAGTGCCAAATATCAGGTTTGCAGTGAAAATATGTGTTGATTCCATGTCCTATGAAAGATGGTGATACATAGTAATTCCCTTCTGCTGCTATCGCCCTGTGTACATATGAACGATGAGTGAATGCCAGTATAATGGAGAATACTTCAACACATATGTTTTTTATATATACTGGCTTATATTTTTCATATGATAAACACATCCATGTCATCTTTGCAGCACTCTCTCTTCAAGTTATTTTCAAACGATGCAATTTTTTTTTTTTTTAAATATAGGCCTAAACTTGCATGCCTCCATAAATAAATTTAACTTAAGTAAAACCCAAAACTTTGGAACTTGAAACTTTTGAAAACTGAAACGGCAGCAATTCCCAAAAATTCAGGGTCTAATCAGTATTTATGACATTAAATTGCGGCATGAATCTATCCCGAATCTGAGCTAATTACAATACTCACACATATTTCATGCACTGGAAAGTCTTTAATTTTACAGCCTTACATGAACAAGACAGATGAAGGCACTGCAAGCAGTGGGCATTGTGCTTAGGGACTCCTGACAACAGATATTTCTTACAGCACTTTCAGTTATATTTATTGACACAATAGGAAATTTTTTCAGTAGATGTCAAATGACAATGTCTTAAGACATAGACCTATCAATGAATGAGAATGCATTAAATATGATGCACTATATTTCTATATTATCATATGGATTCATATTATCTCTTTGACACATATTTCTTAGTTCATTCATAGTGCTTAATGCATGCTAATGGTATAGATATGTTGACTGCTATGAGAGGCATAGCTGTTTCTATAGGCTCAAGGGGACATTACATCCTGCTATGACCCGAGGTGCGCCGGCCGGTAGGTCATAGCAGGATGTAACGTCCCCGAGAGCCAGTATAGAAACAGCTATGCCTCTTATTATTAAAGCAGTCCAAACATCTTTTATATACCGAATTCACAAACAAATGTACAAAGAATTCTTGAGTCAAGATTGGGTAAAATATCACAGAAAATCTGAGACACTGTCTGTTAATCTTCGCTGGAAAATTGCCTGAATGTAACAATCATTTGGGAATCGCACACACACTGTATGGTATCGCACAGAGAAACTTTTCACACGTTAACAAATGGGGAACTCAGAAAAATTTAACTATTTATGCGGCCCGTTACCCGGGGCAATGGGCATAGTTCGTTTCTTGCGGGCATGGCTAAAATCATGACTCCAAATTCGACCAATCAGATGACTAGATTATTCAAATACTAAAGAGAGGTATATAAAGTCACTTACGATATGGTGTTTCCAATGGCACTGATGGGAACATCTGGTCCACATACTTTGATTGCTTCATCTCTGCATTTCTTAGCATACTCTACCAGACGTTTACCAGCATCATCCACATTCCCTACTAGATAGGTTTCTGATAGATCAGCATGGAAACCATTCAAGTACACCTATATGAAGTCAAATGTTGAAATGAGAGGGAAAAGGGGATGGAAACAATGAGTCGTCATAAAAAGCTAAACAGCATGAATGTTATAATATCTGAAAATTAAGCACAACCTTGTAATTTCTAAATGGAATATACAAAAAAATAAATATAACCATCATTTTTACTTGTCACACCGCCACACCAATTCCAAACCGATTTAAAACGACCGATTCTTGGTCATTAAATTATCTTTGTTCGATCTCTTGTCCGTCTGGAATCAGTGCTGTTGGTGTGACAAGGGTGTTAAACTATATATATTTCAAAGTTTCTACTTTGATTTTAAAATCCATTTATAACCAACTGTAAGATGCTTACACAGGAAAATTGAACATGACGGGAAGGATAATCAAACTCAATAGCTGACTTTATGCTGTAACTTCTTTAAATGTTTCATTGTACAGGAGTAGAGAAACTGGCATGAGATATTCACTAAACAAACATTACTAGAGTTCCTGTCAACGCAAAACAATCACCCATACCCTGGCTAAAGCGATTGCATACATTAGGTATTGTTAGGTAGGACAAGCCATAATGTTTGTCCTACCTTGCAACAATTAATGTATGCAATTCCTTATTTTGACTACTGAAATACAATTATTCATTATTCAATTATTCATGTAGAGGTGTTGTGGTCTAGTGGATAATTCGTCGGACAGTAGATCACAGGGTCTGCGGTGCAAGTCCCGCCACAGCACTAATGTCCTTTGGCAAGATATTAATCTACATTTGCCACTCTTCACCCAGGTGTTCAATGGGTACTGGTAGGACAGAATTCCTTGAATGCTGTGAGCGGCGAAATCGGCTGCCTAGCAGAACAGGGGTAATAGTTGGAGCACCTTGAGCACCATGCACGGTGGATATGTGCGCTATATAAATATCCAAATATTATCATAACAGGTGAATCAAATAATTTGTAACCATGACACTTAACAAAATATTTATGCATGAAATTTGATTACATTACATTTAATTACCGTGATATCTGCAGTGATGATATCACCATCTTCTAGTGGTCTATCATCAGGAATACCATGGACCATCACATTATTGACTGATGTACACAAGGACTTGGGGAAGCAGTTGTAGTTGAGAGTGGATGGGTAGGCATTGTTATCTATGCAGGCTTGGTGAAGTACTTCATCCAAACGATCTGTTGTGACCCCAACCTAATGAATGGGAAAAAAGGGACATGGAAATAGATTGAAAACGAAATTTACACACTAGGTTTTTCCATTTAATGGGGGATCTAGAGCAATAATCTGACGATGATTTCAAAGTGGGTTTCCGTAATGAAAGATTTACAAGGATTAATATCAGTCAGCAGCTGGCATAATTTACATCCTGAATTGTGCTAATGGTTTATCACTGACCATGTTTTTGTGCCATATTATTTTCTTTCTTCATTCATTATTTATTGCTTCAACAATGAACCCATTGACTACAGGAACAAGGTGATTCCTGTGTCATACCTATGAGAAAGAAAAACTCAGCATCAAAGAGGTCAGAAGTTAAACATACAAGACACTGCTTCAGCCCCTTGGCCATTTTTAAAATAATGTAAACAAATCTTTCATAAAGTAATTTCATATCGCCTCATATGAACATATATATATATATATATATGTGCTATAAGTCCTTCAACTAAAAATAAACTTTACTTTGTTGTCATTTTGATGATGGTCAACAAGTTGACACAACATGTTGCCAGCCATGGGGTAATGAATTTCACCACAGATGGTAATGAATAAATATGGCCTTTTAGTAAGTACCTGAATATATGATGCTGTAAGATCTAGGAGCTTCCTGCCGAGTTTACCAGCCTCTCTCATACATTGGATAGATTCATGATCCAAGATGAAAACCTTTCTCTGTGGAGCAATCACCGGTTTGCCTGCATGTGCATAATCTGGCATCTCTATCCCTTCTGGTACAGTCCTCATTGGGCTCACCTACAACATCAGAGGAACACAGACAGTCAATAAGAAAAGAAGATACAATAAACTCTGCATACTTCGAAATTGAACAAGTCTGATTTCCCTCAAGCTGAATCAATTTTTTTGACCAAATTATGCAAATTGTGTGTGATTCACACTTTTCTAAGTCAAATTTTACAGAAGTCGAAATGTGTTTTGTAGTCCCAACAGATTCAACTCATGCAGATATAACTGCTGATTAATTTTGTTATGAGTTATCCATTATCAACTGCAAACTGTATAGCATAAAGAGTTTATCTATAATTTAAGGTATGTGTTTTGGCTTGAATGAGATTCATGCTGCCTTTTTAAAACATTTATAAACAAGACACAGTCTCTACCAATTCTTAGTGTTAAGGTTAAGTTTGGGATCAGAGGCACAGCCAAAGGTTGGTAGTGGTCTTAGGGTTAACTTAAGTGGATACTACTATGCTAACTGTGATTAGGCAAGTTTAGGAGAGTATCATAGCTTACAATACTATGGCATAACAAAGGACCGCATCTGGTCAATTAAAATTCACCTTTCACCTCAATGTATCTGGGGTCTAGCTCGGCAGGGTCAGCATGATTTATTTCTTAATATTGAGTTCAAGGCATGCCTGCCACAGTTAACGAGATGATAGAATGGGGGAAAATGACTATTGACTGGCCCGGTGTATTGTTATTCTTGACATGACATTTTATTTTGCTGTAAAGCTACGTAATACCCTCATGAGTTTGTATGTAAGTTTACCTCTACTAGTCAGACTATTTAATTTGTTTCCCTCTACCAAAATGAGAAAGCACTCCAAGTTGGGGTCACTTTATGTTCGATTAACCAATTATCATGTATTGTATTCCTATCAAATATTAAAAGGGAACGTAGCTAACAGACCTAGTAATTTTTTAAAACCGTATCATGACGTTGATTAAATTACTTTCAATGCAAACATTTGAACCACAATCCAAAGGCAAAGAGAATCTCCATCCTTACCTTTCCTGCCTGAACAATTGAGAAGTTACTGGGTGTCGTTGGCTCTGCTTTTTTGCCCCATTTCTGGAAGATATTGAAAGCTGTTCTGGTCTGGGTTTTCTGTAGCTGTTGAAGACATCCTCTGCATAACATCTTGGTCACAGCACGTTTACAGTGAGGCGACAACAGCAGAACTGGCTTCAACATGTTGGCAGTCCCTGGTTTGGCTTGAGGAGCAAAAGAATACAAAGTTTTAATTACTGTTATTTTTTTTTTGACCATTTTTTATTGACCAAGAAAAATGTATAGACCTTTAGGTCTAGTCTAAGTCTAGAGATAGATTTGGATGATCTCAGTCATCACCCTAGCTTAGCTTCATCTGCATTCACTTCATTGAATCTGAAAATAATATGGCTCAACACTCCTGGTTGAGTGAAACGAGTTGGACTGAGTGTGCACATGAAATGTTTTTACTTTTAGGTTCCTTCTTTTTATTTAAACCACACATAAAATATGGAGAAATAAAGTAGACAGCACAGCACACACGTCACTAGATCTAGACCAAAAGATTCAGTCTGATATCAACTGTTTAATTGTTCCGCTGAGAAGTGAGATTACATCTGGCACCACCGCAATGGCCGCCTCTACAAATTATTTGGACTAGACTAGTCACTAGACTACATCATGTAGACCTAGGTAGATGACAGATCTAGGCCTAGAAGTCTAGAACCAAGGTCTAGATCTAGACCTAGATCTACATTATTATTTGTCTAGATCTAGACTAGTCTAGACTAGGGTAGCGCGCCCAGTATTCGGTCCATTCCCAGTATTCGGTCAGACAGCCGTTTCAACTGCTGTAACAATTTAAACAATAATTTATGAGCCATGAAACTTGCACAAATCAGGCAGCTGAACAACTTTTCTGAACTCTCAAAATTTAATCAAATTTAGGGCCCCGGAAAGATCTCCAACTTAGCTTGAAATTGGTCAGTGTCACACAACTTTCTGCACTTCCGCGTTCTGTTAGCACATGCGCTAACATGCATAGCCATATGTAGAAGTCTATTGTGAAACAACTAGGTGTGCTGTCGCAATGAATTTAGTATGTGTGTGAAGAGAATCACTTCCGTGTTCACTCCATCGCAGCGAATTTGCAAATGACGCACTTGCCGATGTGCAAGAGGTATTTATACGATATCCTTGCCATGCGGTATCGCTCGTCCAGTATTCGGTCAACGCATTGACATTCAGTGCTTCATCGTGCAATTGTGTGAAAATAGTGCGCAAATACGCTACGCTCCTTGGCAACGGAGATACCACGCACAAATCGTGTGACCGAATTCTGGGCAGAAAAATACTCCGTCTTCTTTCTGAAGTATTTTGCTTATCACTATTCAGTATTCTATATTTTAAGTGACTATAAAATCCTGTTAGAGGAATAAATTTATTTTCTTTTGATGGGTAGATTGCCAAATAAAAGAGGTAAGAATTCAAAATATTAGTGATTTCCCCGTAAGTGACCGAATACTGGGCACTCTACCTAGTAACCTAGACAGTATGGTGGGGAAAGTTGACAAATTTCAGTTTTATTTCCAGACGGTTATTTCTGTCTAGGTCTATAACAACACACTAACTCAAATCAGTCACGGTCACACTGCAGTCTGGTTATTATTGTAAAGTACATCAAGAATATACGAGCTAGGTTCTAGAGCTAGCTAGCCTAGGTCTAGATCTACTTGTCAGACCCAAATGCCGCAAATGCACATCCCGGGGTCCAACGGGTAAGACGCTCTCACCAACAGTGCAGTAAAACACACCGATCGATACCGTACCGGTACCGTACCGGTATCGTGATTCCGAGTCACGTCAGTCCGATCGTTTTCCAATAATTACACACTTAAATGATCGCAATACTTACCTGGAATAACGATAAGTGATAATTTCTCTTCTGTTTCCAAAGGTATTTATGGTACATTGAACATTAGACTATAAGATCATACCAGGAGTGGGGAAATTGCTAACTTACCTCAAATCATCCGATGAATTTAGGCCGTAGATCTAGAGCAGGCGTAGAACTTGGAAATGTATGGAACACCTTGCGTACCATTAACTTATTTGGGATTTACATATAAATAAAATAAAAAACTTATTTGGGATTTGAACGCTCTGGTTTGTAAAGTAAACTGAGCTCCTGATAAATTATATATCTCATCATTAAAAAAAAAAAAAAATCTCCTTGTGTAAAATCTCACCCTACCTACCCTACCCTAGTGAGCATTTTTTTTTTGGCCCTCGAAAATATGAAAAATCGCACCCTCCCCCCCCCCCCCCTTGAGCGCCAGAGGAGGGGGCCCATCTATAAAAAATTTTAAAAGGGTAAAATCAACGTGTTTCTACCGCAGTTGTAATGAAGTCAATTTAAACCATGTTATCTTTATTTGCCATGATCGGCTTGAGGACCACACAACGTAATGGAATATTAAATCATAACTTTGCAGACAATCATTTAGTGTGCTGATGTAGCTAGCTTAACGTGAAATAGCTAAGAAATATTTTTGAGTCTAACTTTGTGGGGCATATTAGGCTCAAATAACTTGTTAAAATTTACAATCTTGTGCATCCTTAACACGTGGAGCAAGTTTTCGTAAATATTGTAGTTATCATGATAACGGCAGCGCAGTAACAAATCTCATACGACATCCCGCCCCCCCCCCCCCCCCCACTCCGAGAACGGACGGACCCCATGCGTGTTACTAAAATGTCCGGTAAAGGGGTACTTTTCGTGCAACAAAGTCCGGCCCGAGAATTGTAAAAAAAGGGGTGTATTAACTTTTTTTTCCTCATCTCTTTGGACTCCTGACAAATTATTCCGAATTTAGGGGGGTATACATTGAGCATTTTTCAAGATTTAGGGGGGTCTCGAATGAAGGAAAAGCCCACGAAAGGGGGGTTCGGAAATGTTGGCAGTCCTCAGATAGGGGGTGCTTTCAAAAAGAGGGAACAAGCATATGCGTACCCTAATTAACACTGAGTGGGGGGGGGGCAGGTACGACAAACACCATTTGATTTATGTTTTTCAGTCATTATGAGTATATTTCATACTCATCTGAAGGAACTCTACTTATGAATTGTTGAGGTATAGCTCCTACTTGAGCTCAGGAAATTTAAATTTGATATATGTTTTTCTTTTACTTGATTAAGCCAGGGTGAGCGTAATCTGCTCTACCACGGCCTAGATAGGACGCTTCAGTGTCGTACAACATTAGGGCATTGTTAGCAGTAGCAGATAACACGATTTTTGTCCTTGTTTATCCCTTTACTATATTTTTTTTTTTATAGATGAGCATTTAACATTAATATTCATCACTTAAAACCTATTTAGAAACTTGAATATTTGATATGTAAATATATACAAAATCTCATTCTGTATAAATAGATCTCAGTTTTAAGATATTTCTTTTGTACGATTCATTATATTGTATGTTTATATACATAATTTGCACTCGAGACATTGCCAAAATACCATTTGCCAAATTTGAACAAGTTTTATTTTGTAACATATTTAAATGTAGTAACTATTATCGTACGGTAGGAGGAAGATTACTAACATAGATGCCATTGTAGTGTAAGTGCATGGAATGCTGCTCTGATTGATAACGTTGAAAGAGTCATATCAAAATTGGACTATGTAAACTATTGGTTTGAACTACAATTAGTTTTATGTACCAATTATGCTGCACAAATGGGCAGAGTTAGGATTATGTTAGGGTTGGGGTGGAGCTCAATGTAGAAAAAAAGGTACGTTTCTTGATAGAGATTTTCCACTCATAAAACAGGTCCGACAAGCCCCCCCCCCCCCCAAGTGAAATTAAAAAAAAAAATCATTAACGAGCATGGGGCGTGTTATTACGGTTTGTTGGTGCTTTTGTCTGTCTGGAGTCGGAAGGGTAAACTTCTGTGCCATTTTGGGATTTGAAGGAAGGATGTGCACTTTAGCATCAAAGAAGCGAAAATACACCAATTTGGTGTAACTACCATTGTACACAGCAAATGGTGCATGCCGCCATAAGAATGTGTATATTGTTGGAGATATACGATTAAATTTTGCACGTTTGGATATTACACAGGCAGTATTCCAGGAGGTTCATTTAGTAGAGGCATTAGTGGCCCTCAAATAGTAGACCTGTCCAGTACAAAGTTTATAACAGACTTTAGAGCTGAAAAATAATCATATTGATGAATTAGGGTATATTTATTTGTACATTCTTGGATAAATGAAATAAAAGTCTAGATAAAAACCTTGTGCCTATTTTGTGTTTGCTTGTGTTTAGCCATGTGATCTTGTTTTGTATTGTTGACACGTTTAAAAATATTTATTTAACCATTTTCCTGTTAAACATTCAAGAAAATTCTGGAACATTTAGATATTTTTAAGGTCAATTACACTGGTTATGTTAGATATGAACAGAAAGAGTGTTGATTAATGAATGGCAAGAAGAGGGGATAGAGAGAGAGAGAGAAAAGAAAGAAAGAAATCAACAAAGGAGTAAATATATAAAAATTGTCAATTTTTGAATTTCAGTCCTAGTAAAAACGTGTTTCTTCTTCTTCTTCTTCTTCTTCTTCTTCTTCTTTTTCTTCTCCAGGATAATCTGCCTCCTTCACTGCTGAAGATTCTTGCAGATGTGTAAGTGCATGTGTGCATGTCGGACACGGAGATGCCTACAAAATGTAGGTGTGCAGGTGAAAGGTGTATAAACAGTAACCGGTAAAAATGTTGCCGGAATTATGTTGCCGAAATTATGGTTATTATGATTGTGTAATAAATTCTAGTGTGCTTTAAATGAAGGCCTAGTGATGTTTTTCAAATTCCTTCTCTTACAAGTTACAAAGTATCCGGTTAAAGTGAAGTAGAGTAACCAGTCCTCCCAATATTGCCCGCATATTTCAGGTGCATTGCTGACTTACAGACCTGTATTTATCAAAGTGATTTGATTTCGTGCCTAAATAGATTAAAGGATATCATGCAAAATAATCAGTTTGAAAATATTTTATGATATCTAGAGTTATTTAACTTCTCATGTTGTAGAAATTACATTTAAATGTTTGACCTGCATGCGTTTAAAAAAAAATTCATGCATTGTGCTGCACCTGACTTATTAAACTTTTGCTGCGCGCGCATCCTTACCATTGTTGACGTAGAGGCAAGAGCGCATCGTGATTAACAATGCGCATGCGCGTATATCTGGTAACCACTAGCACTGCCCATACATTTATGACAATCTAATTTCATATCTCTTGCGCACATAGCTTTCGGAGAGTTATTGAGCGATTTTCGCAAATTTTTTCGTAACCTATTGGCAATTTTCAAAATGGGCTCTGCTAAATCCAGACCCCGATCTTTGTCTTTCGAGGAGGAAGTTGAAGATCATTCTGAGACCATTGAGACCTGCTGTTGTGCAAGAATCAGAAAAATGTTCTCCAAGAGCAAGAGGGTAAGGGCCCGGATAAGGGCAGATAATCTTTTCAGAGCCCCACTTGTTAGTTTTATTCACAATCTGCAGTGGCGTATCCAGCATAAGAAGGGGCCGGCTTATGAAGGTCCAGAAAAAAGTAGATAAGCCCGTTCACCATTTGCCCCATGTGAATCGAAGATTTTATTCATATTTAGACACCACTTTTAATTGATATGCCATGTCCCCCCCCCCCCCCCCACTCAGTGTTATTTAGGGTACGAGTACGCATGTTCCATCCTTTTGAAAACACCCCCTAAGTCTGGTGTGTTAAGTCAATACGGGCCGATTTTGTGTGTGTTACGAGCCGGACTTTGCTGGGTGAAAAGTACCCCTTTACCTGACATTTTGGGAACATGAATGCGGTCCCTCCGTTCCCGGAGTGGATGGGGGGAGGGGGGGGGGGGGGACGGGGCGGGACCAGTACTTCGCGAAAGGTGTATTCAATTCATGGGTTGAATTCAATCTGTAACTAGTTGACAGTCGAAGAAAATACACATTTAACAGAAAAATAATGCGACTGGCGATACATAGTATATATATATTTATTCAAAACTTGTTGGAAGTTTAGAGAATGAAATTTCAGTTAGATATAGCCTATTAATTTATTATAGTCTTATAGACATATAGTTTGTCGTAAATAACATTATTTAGTGAATTTAAACCAGATTAATTTGAGAGGTAGCTATTACTTAAATTGAGCTTCATTATGGCAAGCTTTTGGGCTTTCACAAGATTTTTAGGATCAGGATTCGACCAAGCGATAATGCAAAATGAATTGTATGAAATTCAAAAGGATAATTCCAACAATTTAAAAATAATCAAAGTACTTTCAATCTACAATTTATTTAGCTACTGTATTATAATTGAACGTAGTGGGGATGAACAGTGTTGTCAAGTGTTCTTTACATGTACAGGATAGACCCATTTCTACAGCACAAAATACTCAGTAAGCTAAATCCGTATAGCAAGCTTTAAATTGAATTGAATCGAATTGATAACAATTCAAAGCCACAGCTATAAGCTGACGCACCTTGAACTTACAAATCAAACTGCAACATTAATTTTTAACATACATCCAAATGGTACAATTTAAAATACCAAAATTGAGACATGCAGTAATTAAATTGATATGATAAAAGGAATAAAAAGAAAAAAAGAAGAAGAGAAAAAAGAAAAATAGGGTCGGAGGAGATAACAAAACATAAAGAAAAAGAAAAGAAAGCAAGACTACGAAAATATGGTTGACAGTAAAAAAAAGCGTCTACAATTAACGTTTAAAAATCCAGTAATAAAATTGAGATTATAATTAGAAATTCAGTATTTAAACTGTTTCTGACCAGTTTTGTTAATAACTTGTTTATTAATTGCAATAGCTTTAATAAAATATTTACGTAGTATACGTAGTATACGTAAACCTATATACGTAGTATATAGAGACAGGCTGCTATATATAATTATAAATAAACATATTGTTAAGAATATATTATTCTTCTATGCAAGTATTTTAGATTGATATGATATTAAAAACTTGGTTGACTGTAACAAAAAAGTTAAGAAGAGCGTA